CCTGCCAAGGTGCTTGCAGCAACGATGGCTTCTGATCGCATTTGTAAGGACCGCGGATGAGGACGAAGAAGATGAGGTACTTGATTAAATTTTCGTATACTTTACCTACAAAGAAAAAAGCACAACCAGGTATTTTCTTGTTTACCAATCTTAAATATTTTAAAATTGTGGGGGTGTAGGTAATTTTACTTAATTACTCGAAAAAATAAATTTTGGCTTTTCACCTAATGATATCGATAGTAATCTAAATTTGAAAATGGTGATTGTGTCATTATATGTTTGTATGTGGATGACATGTTAAATTTTGGTACACACAATGAGATTGTCGCAAGAAATAAATTGTTTCTAGGATCAAAATTTGAAATGAAAGACATGGGTGAAGCCAATGTGATTTTAGGTATTAGAATCATAAGGAAGGGAGATAGTATATTACTATCTCAAGAACAATATATTGGGAAACTTCTTAAGAAGTTTAGGTTTTATAACCTCAAACCAGTGAGTATCCCTTATGATGCTAATTCTAAATTAATGAAAAATAAAGGAGAATCATTATCTCAGTCTCAGTATGCCCAGATAATTGGGAGCTTACTGCACTTGATGAGCTTTTCTAGACCTGATATGGCTTATGCAGTAGGTAGACTGAGTAGGTATACTCAATGTCCAAATCAGGAACATTGGGATGCACTTGCTAGGCTTATGAGATACTTAAGAGGTTCAATGGATTATGCCATTGAATATAGTGGATTTCCCGCTATACTAGAAGGATAAAGTGATGCTAACTGAATATCTGATTCAGATGAGACAAAATCCACTAGTGGTTATGTATTCACACTTGGGGGTGGTGTGATTACATGGAGATCAGCCAGGCAAAGTATTATTGCAAGATCAATAATGGAATATGAGTTTGTCGCTCTTGAGATGGCTGGTAGTGAGGCTGAGTGGTTGAATAACTTCTTAGCAAACATTCCACTAGGAATGAAACCAACCCCATCGGTATCAATACACTGTGATTTCCAGTCGGCAATAGCTATAGCTAAAAACAAGAATTACAATGTAAAGAATAGACATATTCAATTGAGACACAATTTGGTGAAGCAGCTGCTAAAGAGTGGAACTATTTCCATTGATTATGTGAAGTCAAAACGGAATCTAGCAGATCCTCTAACAAAACCCCTGGAAAGACAAATGATATTAGAAACATCGAGGGGAATGAGACTTAAGCCACTTGCAAACAAACAAGTGATGGTAACCTAACCTTTGTTAGTTCTGATAGCACTAAATTGATTTTAATCAATTATTTCCCTTCCTATGGTGTGTGTGAAAGTGCTAGAGACTGCATTATTGAGAGACTAAACTTTGTCATTAAAATTCTATATGGTGATAGAATTTTATCTTAAAACAGTTTTAATGATTTTCATATCCCTTTTGGGTGGTGTATGATTTGCAGCATACACTTGATGAAATCACCTATATGAGTGTCAAGTGGGGCCGCTTGCATGAGATCTTGGCATGATCTCTAGAGCACTCATGAATACCGGGCATGTGCATGGCCTATTAAGCACAACACAGCGATAACAACAAGGATTGTGGGGGTGTATTGTGATTGATAAACCTCTAACACACGTCAAGTGTCTTTGGTTCATATAGCTTGCTATACCAACTACACTGTGTGTTAAGTATTTCAATCTAAGACTGGTTCATATAGCTTGCTATACCAGGTCTGATGCATTACATCCTATGAGACCCAGAATAAAAGTTTCTTGTTTTTTTTTTCTTTCTTTTGCAATAAGTGGGGGATTGTTGTAATAATGTTAGATTATTGCAAAAGAAAAACATTGGATTACAACGTTCAAAACTTTAATTGCCAATAACATTTAAATTCATTTTATTAAGTGCTCCAACGGTAAAATATTTAATGGCTTTTATTGTCTTTTATTGATTTTATTCTTTTCTTTTCTAGCTCTATAAAAAGAGAGTTTTTCCTCCATTCTAAATACACACCAAAAGTAGTCTTCTCTCCTTATCCTTTCTTCTCCTTTCTTCTTTTCCTCTTCTAAAATTATTATGAGTTTATTTTATACTCTTTTTAGATATCCTTGCTAGTTCTGAGATCCTCAGAGATATTCTGGAAAGTTCCTGTTGTATCCTGGGGAACTTGCGCAATACACCGCAGATAAGTCCTTAAGAACAGTGAATCTACACGCCTCAGGAAATACTGCTCGTGATTTTGTCAGCTTTTATACAACAATATCTCACTTGTAAAATGTGTTTACTTAATTGTGACATAATTATTATAGAAAATAATGTCATTATAATCTCCCAACTAAAAGAAAACCTATGAAATCAATTTTAAACAAAAAAATCTTGAAAGTCTTAAATATTTTCTAGACATTGAAGTGGATGAATGCATTATATTTGCTAAAAGAAATATGCTTTAGATATATTAAAAGAAAAAAGTATGGTTGATTGTAAATCGATAGATAACCTTGTGGATCCAAATAAAAAATTAATAGCATATCAAGGTAAACCTCTCTTTGATATAGTTCTTGAGAGATGTATAAGAAATTTAATTTTCTCATTATTAATAAATCTGATCTATATTTTTTGGTGAGTGTTTTAATCAGTTTATGTAAAATCCTTGTACTAATCGTTGGAATGTTATCATTTGCATCTTAAGATACCTAAATAGAACTCTAGGGTAAAGTCTATTGTATAAAGATAAAAAAAAATCCCAACTTTTAGATATTGTAATACTATTTAGACAGGATGTCTTATAAATAAACATTCTACTACAAGGTATTATATTCTCATTGGAAGAAATATTATATCTTGATAAAAATAAAAAACAAAATGTAGTTATCAAATCTAGTACTGAAATCGAATATAAAGTAATGACTTGTAAACTTGTATGTGAAATAACTTTTTCAAGCATTAAATTTTTGGTGAGATTGAACAAATAAACATGTATTATAATAAATAAATTGTTCTCCATATTACATAAAAGGACTAAATACTCACGAAAAGTTATTATCCACAAAAATTTATACGAGTTTATTGAATCCAATAATTAACTTGTAAATGTATTAAAAGACCTAAGACTGAATTTATTTATTTATTTCAAGTTTGATAATCATTAAAATCAATATTTAAAGTAGGTAGTTAATAGCTGTATTGAAAAATTGATATTGTAGCTATGAACTTATAACATTAATTACCTGGATATTTTTAATATAATTATTTTCTATAAATAGTGAAGATAAATTAAAAAATAATATTTTTAATCTCTTTTATTCTTATTTTTTGTTTTAAGTGTTTTAAATTAAAATATAACAAATAAATTCTTAATTATGATGATTTTATATTAAAGAATTTTTTTTCTTAATTTTTTAATTAATATTGTAAGACAATATTTATATTTATTATATATAAAGAAGACTTTCCTTTTTAGTGTCCATATTTTTTTTTTAATTTTATCCTTTAAATAACCTTTTAAATCAAAATAATTATTTTACCAATTTTATCTTTTAAGTGAGTGTTTTTATAAATTTAACTTTTTTTTAATTTAACCTTTTTTTTAAAACTTAACTATTTTTTAAATTAAAAAATTATGTACAAAAGAAATAAAAATTATTTATAATAAAATTATAAGATTATTTATATTTAATTTTATAAATATAATAATAACTTTATTATTGTATAAAAAATAATATCCATATACACAGCACACGAGATTAAGTTAACCGTGCCAATTATGTACTAACAAAATGAAGTAAAATACATCACATTTTTTAAATTGAAAACCCAACTTAAAATAAGAGGATTGAACATAGATTTTTATATAAATACGAGAAGAATTTTAATCTTAATTTTTATTTTAATAACTAAAATTTATTTTATCTAAAATTATATTCATAATTATATATATATATATATATATATATATATATATATAAATTATACACACATTGATTTTTTAATTTTATTCTTTTAGTTACCAATTTTAAAATTAAATAATTTATAAAGAAAAATCTCCCTCTAGTTATGTGTGTGAATTGGATTATATAGACATCTCACCACAATAAAATACTTTTATCTTAAGCTTTATTACCATGTTGCGATACAACAAATAATTATTAGGCTAAATATGTTTTTTTCTATTAATTTTCGGTAAAAAATAAAATTAGTTTTTTTTTTAAAAGCTTTGTATCAATTTAATCTCTCATTTTTAGAATTGATTTAGTCTATTTAACTAAATTTTGTTAAATTCATTTAATATATTTTTTAACTAACATGAAAACGAAAATATATCAAATAATATAAAAAACTCTATTGAAATATTTTTTAAACATTAAACAAATTTAACAAAATTTAGTTAAAAAAATTAAATTCACATATTTTTAAAGTTGAGAAACTAAATTAAATCAAAATTTAAAAAAAAAAAACTGATTCTAATTTTTATTAAAAGTTTAAAAAACTAAAGAAATATTTATCCATAATTTTATTTCTCATTGTTCAAAAACAGCATTGAAGTTTCTTTATTAATTGAGAATTTCTTATAAGTCTTAACAAATAAGAGTACATTTATTGATGCTGGCTGTGTTTTTCAAGCTAAAGGTTTTCTAGTTAACTTTTTATTATTATTTTAATAGGCATCTAAGTCAGGATTAATTGAGATAGGTGATTTTGATGGGTATAACTTGTGATATATTTTTAGGAAAATGACACTTGAACAACCATTTTTTACAACATTTAGACACGCGCATACGTGTCTAAATTTGAATGGTCCATTTTCATTTAATTTTTCCAACTGGACCACTCAAATTTAGACATGTGTGCGCGTGTCTAAATGTTGTCAAAAATGGTTGTTCAAGTATCATTTTCCATATTTTTAACACATCTTTCTAAGATAATTTAATTAATTAAATTTTATTAGAAACTATGTACAAATAAAATAGTAATGATAATATTCCCAAAGAAAAAAAGAAACTGAATAAATTGGCAAATCCAATGTCCTTTTATTTACAGGGTTTGCAGTTGCAGACAGTAGTAACTGGTGTTCCTTGAAACGATGATAGTACTCATGTCGGTGTTGCCATTTCCACTCTCCAATAGACTACCCACACAAACCCACAATCTGATTTCGCATCACCGTTTTCCTTCTTCCTTCACTTTCCACACATCGTTCCCCAACAAAACCGTAGTCTTTGGTATCAATCCCAGCGACTCCAAAGACCCTTCTTTCTTCGACGAAAATGGCGTCGTCAACGACATGGAGGGTTACCTCAACCACCTCTCCCTCGAATACGATTCTGTTTGGGACACCAAACCCTCTTGGTTGGTCACCTTCTCCAATTATTTCTATAAAATGCCCTTTTAATCCCTAATTTCTTTTTTAAAGTAAGTATTTTGGTCTACCGAATTGTTGTAATTGTACATTGATATTGGAATTTTGAAAGCATAATTTAACATTTTTTTTGGTGTTTAGTGACACTTCGTCATTGGTGGTTGATTGTTTATCCTTTTTGATATTTTGTTTAGGTGTCAACCCTGGACAATAGCGCTCACGGGGCTTGCAGTTATTGCCATTAGTTGGTTGATTTTGAATTCTCTCTTAGTCACTTCCTTTGTATCGTCGCTAATATTTGCATGGTGGTACATTTTCCTCTATTCTTATCCCAAGGTTCGTAAGCACTGCGTTATTTCTTTTTTTATCTTTTTCTCTTGTTTTTCATAACATGGTTCTTTATGGGCTTATTCTGGTTTAGGGTATAAAACTATGAGGGAACACATGCTTGACCTTGTTTTTCTACCGTAATTTCTACTTCCAGGGAGAAAAATAAGACAAAACAACATTAAGTGAATTTTTCTACAATTGGGAGAAATTAATTATAATTTTTCTTTTTATTTTCTTTCCAAAAATGTTTTTGAAGAACTTCATCTAGACCTTAAATTAGCTTGACGTCAGGTGAAGTTTTCTTGCAAGGGATACTGCATTCTTTTTTTTTTTAAACAAATAAAGAAAGTTAATGTAATATATGCAAATATCAGTGTAGTCTTTTTCATATACTTGAAAGGAATTAGTGTGTGATAAAAGAATTAAAAGGCTTGTGACATCTCACAAAACTTCTGAAAGTGCTCTTTAGATATTGCGTTAACATAAAAGTGCACATGTGGTTAGCGTTAGAGTCTGAGCTTATGAATCTTCGATTCAGTGGGAATTTGAGATTACCTTAAAATTTTTCTTTTGTTGATGGAGCACTTGTAGTGATTAAAATTTCATGTCGTTTTACGCCCTCATAGGTACCTGCCAGATTTTAGTTAGAGGCTTTCGGCATGCTTAGGGAATGAAGCATCAATTTTGGTTTATGTAGTGATTTGTTCAGGTCTTGTTTCCTTAATAGAAATTGATGTTGATATGGTTCGTGTCTTTCTTGAAACTAGAGAGAATGATATTAGATATATTATCAATAAATGAACATGTTTGGATGAGTTTTTCCATAAATTTATTCTTGCAAAGAAAAATAAGAAACAAATTGGAATATTTTATAGGCTAAAATTAGTTTGTACATGAACTAATATAGAGGAGGTTTCCTATATAACTTTTCTATTTTTTTTTTAACTTTTACACTAGCTAATTTTAGCTTGTGGAGAAGTGAACTAATTTTTTTGTTATTTTCCTTTTTCCTAGAAGGACTTACGGAAAAACTCATCCAAACACACTACATGTTCTACATGGTATTAGAGTTTGCAGTTGAGAAAGTTATGTGGAGTGTGGAATCATGCATGTGCTTACATTCAATACCCCTTTTATTTCAGAAGTTAAATTCATCTCTTTTTGTTAAATTATCATTACACTTAAAGTGATTGTTTGTAAAGTAAAGGACTTATTACATAAGTTGCTTAAGTAAGCAACTACAGGTTATTTAAGCTTTAAAAAGGAATCAATTTTTCATGTCAAAATGAGGGTTCTCTCTTGTGTGTTAGTTGAGAAATAAAATAGAACTCTGTTAAAAATAAGTAAAGAATTCAGTTGTGTTCTTAATTGAAGATTAATAGCTCTAAATTCTATCCGATAACAAGACATTTATTAAAAGAGAATTAAGAATCTAGATTGAGTTCTCGTGTTTTCAAATGCTTTTGCAGTAATTTTCAGCAGGAATTTTGTTTGTTGTCAGGCATATTCAGAGATGATTGCTGAGCGCAGAGAAAGAGTTACAAATGGTGTTGAAGACACATTTGGTCAAGGGAAGAATCAGTGATTCGTATTATTCTTACCCCAGCTGTATCCATCTTTTACGCCTTCTTTTCTTGTTCTGTGTATCTGCTTGTATTTGTATATTCAATTACTGAGTAGTCGTTGTGTTACTGCCAATTGGCTTGGAGATAACAGAGTGATGTACAAGTCTTGAAACCTAACACTCTGTATAATAAATATTTGACCTTGTCTTCTCACACTGGACGCGCATGCGTATGGAACTTATGATTTGGTTTGGTTGAATTGAATTAGAGGATTGTTCCTTCAATCTTTGAAAATATCTTTCTGTCACAACTAAGAAGCATTTATATTTTCAAAAGCTTCGGTCAGAGCTACGAAGCAGTAGTTATCGTTAAAAAATGCGTTGTTAGCTTTTGTATTGTACAAAAAGTCGTCCATAATTTATTCAGACATATTCAGAATTTAGAAGAGGAATAAAAGACGGATAATTTTCCAAATTAAAGTTTCGTAAGATGTTCTTTATCTAACGAAAGCTTAAAAGCGAAAGAAGTGGGAAGGACTTTTCATAGGGAAAAAATAGCGAAACAGTCTGCTGCAGAGTCCACCATCATGAGCATTAAGTATCACCATCAATTAAGTCGAAGGCAAAATAATTTTCAAGCAAAATAGTTGAAAATTACAAACACAGAACACTGAAATTAAAGTTATCCCTTTGTATATCAAAGGCTCATAGCTTGGTCATTTACCTCACTTGACATTAGAATGAATATATGTATGCACACATATGTTCAATTTAGGACATTTACCCTAACCATTTGGAGAGAATAAAATAAGTTTGGCACATTCTTTTCCTCCCCGGTATGAATAGAAAAAGATTCTAAAAAGGTTGATGGAAACCTGGCCAATATCCTTTCAGGTTGTGAAAGTTAAGCTATCAGCAAGAACTTAGTCCTGTTCAAAAGGTCAAAAGTCGTGCTGTTGCTTTAGGGTGGTTGTTGAAAATGGAAATCAAAATAAAAACTTTGAAGCCTGAGCTTAAAGTTATACGTCGGAACTGAAAGTCCATCAAAACTGTCAAAATCGTGCTTTTGTTTCTGGGTGATCGTTGAAAATGGAAAACATGTGAAGCTTAGGGTTTAAGTTAAACGTCAAGGCGAAAGTCAATCAAAGCTTCTCTATACCGTGCTTGTTATTTTCCTTATAAGCAGAAATTCCTTGACAACAGTGAAACCACCAAAAAGCTTTTGTTCTACGCATCTTTCATCTCTCAGTAAACCATATATCTAATGACTAATTTCAGCAAGAAATTGATTCAGAGATTTATAAACCACAAGAAGGTTATTCCAGAAGTTCTAATGGAAGGAATATGAAGGGCTAGTTGTATATATATACGTGCAATTGAATTAAAGAGAAGAAAAAAAAGAGAAAGTACTAAGGCAAAAAGAAAAAAGACGAGTTTATGAGTTTCATGTAATTTGATCACATGATTGCTGAAAACTGTGTGGCTGGCATTACCTGTTTAGCACTCAAGAATAAGATTTCATAACTTATCTCCTATACTGACTACTCATTTCTCCAAGCATACAAAATGAGAGAGAATCCAAGACCTTGCAACTGGGAATCCCTGAACTGCTGAGAGTAAGCCCATGTGAGAACAGAAGGATCAGAAACAGATTGGCTTGCGAACATCTTCTCAGATGAAATGCAAGTTTGGAACATAAAGACTGCATTTCCCAGAGCATTTCCAAAGAGCCAGTTATGTACATCCCAAAACACTTCCACTGGTAGGCCATCCACCAAAATAGTGTGATTGCCCCGGAACTTCCACTTGAGTTGCTTCACCTGCATCACCGTCTTGCTATCAATTCGGATCACAAGGCATGGATCATTAAGCCCAAGTGTGTCACACTCAATTCTTACATCATGCACTTGGCCCTTGTCACAAAACTGAGCCTTTGCACCATAAAACTTCTTGCCAAAAATGTGCTCTCTCTTTGCAATAAAAACGGCTTCCGAGTTAGCACAAGCATAGTCACTATCAATCTTCTTGCATGCCTCCTTTTTCAGATCCCCAAGGAGTAAGACCATCTCTTGGTTGAACACAACAACCAAGTAAAATCCCTCCAATGGTTCAGGCCCGGAACCAAATTTAGCACAGCTCAAGTCCCAAAGTATATCGATTTTGCTAGACTCAACCTCCAAATTCTTTGACCCTTTTCTTTTTGAGAACAACCATGGCTTTATATCAACCTTGCAGAGACAATGATTACCCAACTCATCGATTCCCACACTCAAGCCTTGTCCCATCAAATATTTGGTCCAAGAGACAGTAATCAAGAACGAACGGCCTCCTAACTTACACCGATAGACACAAGTAACAACATTTTGAGCTCCCCTTGTTGTACTTGAATAGGAGGAATCAACAACCTGAACACCATTTTCTCCAAAACAAGAAGGAAACTCCTTCATGGCAGCTATTATTCTGAACTTGTTTCCTAAAATCAGATCTTTTATCACTTTATGAGAAGGAAAAGATCATGGCCTAAATTTCCTCAAGATCAGCTCAAAAACTGTTCATTTTTCACTGAGTCAGTATTTGTTTAGAATGGGACAGCAGAAGAAAGAAAGACAGAGAGCAAGAGAGAGAGATTTGCTTTAGCTGCTAATTGATCGCCAAACTACTAAAGTAGAAGCCAAAATGTCTGATTTGAGAAATGGAAGGAACAGAATGGAAGGCTAAGTAAAAGAGAATTTGCTTTTAGCACATGGGGTAACAAGAAAAGTGACGGAATGGATAAAGCATTAAAACCTGGAATATAATAAAGAGAGATTTACACCAAAAATTAAAAAAAAGAATAGAGAGTTGGTCAAAGCATTAAGTGTGGCAACTGGGTATGTATGTGCTCAAGAGAGTCGTTTTTGTTTTATACATGCTCTCTCTCAATTTCCTTTAAATAAAAAATATATATAATGATGCCAGCTCAATTTTTCAAAATTATAATTATGTCCCTGCTGGGAAGCAGAGACAATATTCGAACTGTTTAAAATAATTGCCATAAAATAAAATGATTGAAATCATTAGTTATAAACGTAACATTTAAGAATGACATTCCATGTATCACTTCAAAGTCTCAATGAGCTGGTATAATTAGAGTGAGTACGAAAAATGATGAGAGTAATTTAATTAAATGATAGAATACATAAATATGAAATGATACATTAAAGCGAAAAAATAAGACTACTTAATATTTAATAGTTATCCATTCCTATTAAAAACAATCCGAATTATCAAAGTATTTGGTCAATGCATTTGTCATACGAACAATTGAGTTTTTAAATATTTAGGAATAGTTTATCGAAAATAATAGATGGGACTCATAGAGGGTATATGATGAGGATGAAAAAAAAATGATAAATGATAGAAGATATGAGAATGAGTCAATACAGTATATTTTGGAATGAAGATCAGAGAAGTGAAATGTATTAATTAAGTGGGCACCTTCTCAATTCAACCATTAATTGAGAACTAAGTATTCCAACCCCCCAAAACGTGGCTTTTTTTTTTCCACAATTAGTGGGAACAACTGTGTTTAGACATCCAAATTCGATTTTAACAACAGTTATAACCTATAACTTTACTTATTCATAGGGTAATAACACTCTTAAGCCTCTAAATTTAAACAAACCATTTTGTTTTCTTATATGCTTAATTACACAAATCATTGTCGCTTCACCAAGGAATTTATTTAAAAAATAAACTTTAATACTAATTTAATTTTATAAAATTGAGTTGTGAATGAGATTTCCATTATTTATATATTGTAAATTAATTTTTTATGCGATCAATGTAAAATTTTAAACATTTTCTATTTTCACCATTTTCTTACTTCAAGGTATAATATTAATGAGTTCTCTGATAATAATATTATAACATTATATCTAATAAATAATAAATTTTGTTAAAATAAACTTTAATTTATAGTTTTAATATTTATATAAAAATTATTACTATGAATTGTGATATATTTTCTTGTTGGTTTTAATTAGGTGGGGGAGGAAGAGACTTTTTGTAAGTGTTCCGATGGAAATTGCACTATATATCATCTTCAACAATTAATTTGATGACATGATGTGGATCATCTTGATCTTGCGTTAACCAAACCAGGGATTAGGTGTCCCCACCAAGGAACACTTTAGATTATGGACCAGCCAACTGCTTCCAACTGTAGCCATTCAATTTCTGATAAATTGTTTAATAGTATTCGGACCAGCTCATGCTTCCATTTAATACATTACGTGATACACATTCAAGATTTTTAATTTATGAAAAATGTTATAAAAACCTCATATTGTTCAGAGATCTGGAGTTTGTGTGAGGAAAACATATAGCTAAGAGACAACATTTGTTTTTTGAACTGCTTTTTGAGATTAAATTAAGCATAAACTTAAATTCTAAATAAACACTTAACCATGTTATTTTTGTCTTGAAAATACGATATGTTTTTTAATAATGTGAATTTTGGAAGTAAGTGAGAGTGAATTTGAAAGTAAATTTTTTTAATCTGTCACATCAATCATTCTACACTAATTCTCACCAATTTTAGTTCCAAATCCACTCTTACGTACTTCCAAAATCCACTCAAATAAACAACAAAAAGTTTACTTTCAAATCCTCTCAAATGCATTTAATCACTCTCTACCAAATTTATTCAAGTAAGTGTTGAATCGTTTTTCTTTCCTCAAACAAGGTGTGGAGGAAAGATTACCTATCTATCTCAATAATGATGTAGGGAGGGGTTCTCTTCAATTCACTCAGTATTTTGTTTTAGTTATTTTTATAAATATTAAAAATTTAAGTTTGAGTTTAAATTTTATATTATATAAAAAAAATTGAGTTTTACATAAAAAAACATATTTTATTATCTTAAATTTTTGAATAAGAGATAATATTAATCCTTTATTTAAATTAGTTTCATGTTTCATTATTTTTACATTTCTTGATTAAGTCCTTAAAAGACTCATCAAATTGGCTATTTGAGTTTGTCACTTGTTTAATTTTCTTATTCCAAAATATCATTGAACAGCTGGAAATATAATTTATTTTTATCAGCAGCTGGAAATTTATATAATATATGGTTAAGTAACATTTTTATCTAGAAGTTTAATTTTTTATTGCATTGATGTAGAATATCACGATGAGTAGTTCTTTAGAGATTTGACTGATTATCTTTAATTAATCTTTTCTAGTAATAATCATAACTTTTGAACTTGAGTTCTTGTTTAGAAAACATTAAGTGTTATTATTTATTTATTTATTTATATATGAGAAATATCGTGATTTGTTGTATATATACTACCAAAAGTCTTTGCAGGCTAGATGTTGTGCATGACATGTGTTGCTCCTCCTTTTTGCCCCTTTGTTTTGTCCTTCATAAATGGATAACCACGAAATTGAAAAGAGCGACGGAATACGTACACATACACACGTATGTCCACCCACACGTATACAATATATATATATATATATATATATATATATATATATATACTTTATTTATTTATTTATTGATGAGTAGAAGGTTATGATGGTGGCGGTCCTGATCCTCATCTGACATGAAGAATGTGCAGTGATGGTGGACTTTGTGTTACCAAATGGCAACTTCAAGCACAGAAGCAATAGGGATTCCATGGATTTAGTCACGCTTTTGCTAAGACAAAAGTCCACACAGATTAGGATTGTTAAATCAGGATTATGCCACTCACTTTCCATGTCAAATTAAATTATTAAGCTTTTCATATTTTTATTCCTCAATTTTCTTCATAATTTTATTTTAGTCCTTGGTTGTAGTTTTATCTATTTTAGTCCTGTTCCCTTTTATAAATTTTTTTATCTATCCTGTCAAGTAACAATGATATGATATGGTGACATTAATTTTATCTATCGATTTTTTTTATCTCTCCTGTCCTAATATTCAAGACATGTTTACTTAGATTTTTTTAAATATTAACTTTTTTTTTCAAATTGTTAATATGTATCAATCAAGTTTATTGGATTGATTTTTTAGAAATAAAGTTAATTGTTAAGATGTTCTCAAATAAGGTCAAATAACCATTGAAAAAGACACTAATGTTGCAAATAAATTTAGATCCCTAAGCACATCACATTCTTTTAATGAGAACATGAGTTGTGACAAAGAACACAAAGATATGAAAACAGAAAAGGTGGAAAAAAATTATAACAATCAAGCTCAAGATCTGCATCACCAGACACACATATATAAGAAAAAAAATAGACCAATGAATCAAACAAGTATACTTACTCTAGTGAAAGGAAGAATTGGGTAGGCTCTCTCTCGTTGTTCAAGAGCTACTACGGTTAATGGAATATCTCATTTTCCAAGTAAATCTCAATCTCTCTTTCTTGGAGCGAAGTCGCTTGGTGATTCCAAACAGGCTGATAATAATCTTTACCAAATTGAAATTTAGCAGAGGATTTGTGAGTACTGTAAAATCACTTCTCTTCTTTGTTGTTGGAATCCCCAATTCATAAACGTGATTAATTTTTTTTCAAAACCCTAATCCCAAATTTCTACATCAGAAAGCCCTTATGAATTACATGTCAGAAAACAAAATGCCACGACACAACAAAATTCTCACTACATCATGCCCAATAAGTCAACATTAACTATTTAGAGACATGAACAAAAATGGACTTGATTGATGCATATTACCAAACTCAATTTAATGAAACTTCTATATTTACCTACACCTCCTCTCGTTTCATTCACTCTTTCTCATTGCACTTCACTTTTTTTCTTTGTTCTTTCACTGTGGTCTTGGTTGTGTATTTTGTGTGTGGTCCTTTTGTGTCATTGGTGGTCTTTATGTGTTCATCTAGTGGTCCTACATTGTTGTTGTGTGAGGTGTTTGAGGTATGGAAGCTTGCAGTTTAGGTAAGTGCACTAAGAACCCCTTTATTTATGGAATTCGAAAATCATTGAACCTTGATTTCAAAATCCGGTTAAGAACTCGTTAGTTTTGGAAAGCTGATTAAGGGTGTGACGACTTTCAAAAATCTTTTGTACCTTAATTGACTTTCAAAATCCAACGATCTCTTAACCAGATCTAGAAATTCAATTAAGGGACTAACGATTTTTTAAAGTCGCCAAACCCTTAACCGACTTTCAAAAGTCGACAAGCTCTTAACCGAATTTTGAAACCTGGTTAAGGGTTCAATGGATTTCAAAGTTTGTAAACTCTTAATTGACTTTCGAAACCCGGTAAGCTCTTAATCGAATTTCGAAAGTCGATTAAGAGTTCAACAAATTTTGAAATCCGTCAAACTTTACGCGATGAGTTAATTGAATAGGTTCGAAGGATTACATTTGATCTTGGATTTGTTGTGATTATTAACGATAACTGAAGAATCTGAAAGAAAGACATTTGTGTTGTTAGGTTGTGAAAGGATGATAAGTACAAGAAGTACAAACTTGATGTTCAGTCGAGTGTATTCGGCATAAGAAAATGCGAGTGTCCCTTTAAGTTGAGAACCAAATTTATTTATTTTTCTATCCTACATAACAACAAAATATATAAAACAATAAATCAAACTACTCCTTAACCGTTAAAATTCACGTTATGTACTAACTCGACCCTATCATAAGGCATATGCAACATGCTCCGTGTAATGAGTAAGGAGTGGTATGTCTTTTGAACCTCTTGGAAATCCACTTACTTCGTGTTCTTGTTGAGCAATATCTTCCTACTCAACAACATATTCCTCTGGTTC